TAGTCGCTTCGGGAAAACCCATGCTTCAGCATGAAGGAGTCAAAACACTTGTACCACTGCCAAGGAGATTGCTTCAATCCATAGAGTGACTTTCTCAAGCGGCATACATGATGCTCCTTATCCTCAACCTTGTAGCCCTCAGGTTAATGCATATAGATCTCTTCATCTAAGTCTCCGTGCAAGAAGACTGTCTTGACATCGAGTTGTTCCAGCTCAAGATTACCATGAGCAACAATACTCAATAGCACCCGAATAGAAGTGTGTTTTACCACCGGAGAAAACATCTCATTGTAATCCACACCCTCTCTTTGTGCAAACCCCTTAGCCACTAGCCTTGCCTTGTACCTCGTTCCACCGAGCTCTGAAGGATCTTCTTTTCTTTTATACAGCCACTTACAACCTATAGCTTTCTTTCCTATGGGCAATGAGACCACCTCCCATGTTTGGTTCTTCCGGAGAGATTCTATCTCCTCCTCCATCGCAGCCAACCAACTCTCACTATTCTTGTCTCGAATAGCTTCCTTGAAGGAGATCGGCTCATCTTCCTCCACCGAGAGTGCGAACTCAATCAAATTAACATGCCCATAGTGCTTCAGGGGTTGATCAACCCCCAGCTTCTGTACCTGCTTGTATACTCGCCTTGGCCTAGTGGAAGCTAAGCTATCCTCGAGCTGCTGTTGTTATAGTGCCTGTGTATTCTCCTCCTGCTCAAGTTCATCATCTACCTGATTTTCCACTTGAACATGACTAGAACCTGGTTGGTCTTTAGGTTCTATCTCAATAACCTGGGACTTAGAAGTCCCAACAGTCTCAACACCACCATCTTTGGGCACCCTAGCAATCATGGACTTCGAATCTTCTGTACACCAAAGGCGGTAGCCTTTTACGCCTTTTGCATACCCCAAGAAAATTACCTTCTTGGCCCTCACGTCAAGCTTTCCCTCGTTGACGTGATAGTAGGCGGTACATCCGAAAATCCGGAGCCTCTTATAATCTGCATGTTCCCCTGACCACACCCGATAGGGTGTATCACCGTCCAATGTCGAATGTGGAGATCGATTCACTATATAGCAAGCTGTAGCAATCGATTCTGCCCACCATTCTTTGCCAAAACCAGCATATGATCGCATACTCACTGCTTTCTCCCGCAGTGTTCGGTTCAGTCTTTCCGCGGCCCCATTCTGCTGTGGTGTAGATCTAACTGTCCAGTGTCTAGCAATGCCCTCCTGATCACAGAACTCCTTGAAGGCACCATTTGTGTACTTTGTACCGTTGTCAGATCTCAGCGTCTTCAATTTCTTCCCTGTCCTGTTCTCAACCATCGCCTTCCACTTCTTGAATGTCTCAAATATCTCATTCTTATGCTTCAGAAAATAAATCCAAGCATACCTAGAATGATCATCTATGAATGAGACAAAATATCTGGAACCACCCTTGAAAGTTGTCAAAGCCGGACCCCAAACATCCGTGTGCACATAATCTAGTATCCCTCTGCTCTTGTGATTGCTTCTCAGGAATTGAACCCTATGCGCCTTTCCATACGCACAGTCCTCGCAAAAATCCATGCAAGCTTCTTCAGATTCTTCAGCAAATCATCCTTACCAAGCAGATCCAGACCCTTCTCTGACATGTGCCCAAGCTGCCTATGCCATAACCGTGTGTGCTCACATGGGTCTCCACCACTTCCTTCAGCTCCAACTGCTGCATCTCCCGTCACCGTCGTACCCGAGAGAGTATATAGATTACCGTGACGAACACCCTTCATCACTGTTAAGGAACCCCGAACAACCCTCTTCATTCCGTTCTCTGTTACAATCTTACAACCCCCGGAGTCCAAAGCTCTGACTGAGATGAGATTCTTCCGCAAGCCGGGAACGTGTCGTACGTCCGTCAGGGTTCGAACCACTCCATCATGCATCTTGATTTTGATATCACCTAGCCCCACCGTTTTACAAGCATGGTTATTCCCCATCAATACGGTTCCACCATCAATGCTCCTGTAGGTAGTAAACCACTTCCTGTTTGGATACATGTGGTAAGAGCAACCAGAATCAAGAATCCACTTCTCGGAGGTATCCTCTCCATCCGTGACGACATAACATTCCTTATCGTTCCTATCCTTTGAAGCATAGCTCGCCTCTTCTTTGCCTTCTCGTCTTTCAGTCTTGCTGTTGTTCTTTTTCTCACCTACTCTCTTGTTAGGACAATCGACCTTAAAATGCCCAACTTCACCGCATTTGAAACACGCTCGTCCCGCAAGAGGTCTCGATTTAGATCTAGACTTTTCTCCATTGCTTTTTCCTCGCTCATTGCCTCTTCCTCTGGCAAACAGTCCCTACGCTTGTTCTTTGTTACCACCAGTGGCCATATCACTAGTTGTAATTTTTCGAAGATCATCCGCTAGAAGTACCGTTCTAGTCTCATCCATCGACAAAGTATCACCCATAAGCATCAGTGTTTACACCAGGTTCTCATAAGACTTTGGCAGCGATAGAAGTAGTAGAAGCGCCTGATCCTCGTCTTCCACTGTCACCTCAATGTCTTTCAAATCTGATATGATCATATCGAACTTGTTGATGTACTCCCGGATTGACGAGCCCTCCTCCATCTTGCAAGTATACAATTTGGATTTTAAATAGATCCGGTTCGTTAGACTCTTCGTCATGAAGGTGCTTTCTAACTTCAACCACACGCCCGCAGCCGTTTCCTCCCCGTCCACCAAGAAAGCTATATCCCTTTCAAGGCAAAGGATAATCGACGCTCGTGCTTCCAGATCCAGCTCCTCCCAATCCTCATCAGACATATTTTTGTGCTTCTCTCTTCAAGCCAAAGCCTTGTGCAACTTTTGCGAAATCAGCGAATTTTTCATCTGCATCCTCCAATAGGAAAAATCATTTTTCCCATTGAATTTTTCAATCTCGTACTTTTCAATTTTATTTATTTTACTTGTAGAAGCCATTACCCGCTTGAATTATGTAAATCCGCTTCTCTCAGGAATTTTTAACAATTACTTGTGTTTTACCACACAATATTCAACCACCACATCAGATCAGAAATTTTACCACCTCCAGTCTGAATAAGGGCTCTGATACCAATTGTTGGGCGCAGGGTCACGCCCACCGCCGCGGAAGCGATATGTCCTAAGAGAGAGCCCTGACTTTTGTTTTCACAAAAGTACAAGTCAAACTCGATATCTGTGTTTCGCGAAGGAAACCCAGACTCAGTAGCGAAATATCTCAGCGAAGTGAGATATCCACTCTTTCTCTCATCAGTGCAAGGACTGAACTATCGAGGGCACCTGCAAGTAAAACAAATAGTTATGACAATACAAAGACGAGATTTACGTGGTTCGGCAAACTAGCCTACGTCCACGGGAGGGGGTTTTCACTATGAGGAGAATACCGAACTTATTACAAGTTTTCTCTCAACTCACTCTCTTTTTCTTTATAACCTCACTTAACCCACAAATGATTTTTCCCACTAATTTTCCCCCACTAATTTTTCCCCACACAAAACTCCTCCACAACCACTTCTATTTATAGGAAACCAAGGGGAGGGGGAGCTGAAGAATTTGGCGGGAGCAAACGGCGGGAAACGAACGCGCGCGCGGGAAAGAAAAAAAAATCGCGCGGGGGAGCTTTCGTGCGCGCGCGGGAGAAACAGACGGGCAGGGGGGCTTCTCGTGGGCAGACCCACGTGGGTGGGCCCCCCCTATCCCCCGCTCACATTAGGGTTTGGAAGAAATGGAAACTAGACTTTTGTCTATACGTGGAGACCACGGGATTAACATGATCTATCTATGACATTGGGGGAGTCTTAGCATCTACTCGCTAAAGGTATTTAGAAATGTGTTAAAAAATGTAAAGGAGATGTTTCATTCTCTATTATCTTCCTTGCAGTAGAAGGAAGACTCTATAGGCATCAATAACCCATATGATGCCCAAAAGTTAGGGGCGTTAAGTGACATTTTTAAAGTTCAAGGGCTCATCTTAAAAGGGGCAAAAACATTATGTTAAATTTTACACCAGTATTTAATATTTTACATAAAAGTCAATATCTCATTTCTGCTATCTCAGGTTGATAGATTTGGAGATTCTAAACCTCGTTGTTGATTAACTTTGAGCTGTCTGGCTTAAATTGGTGAATTCTTTTGTGAAGGCTTTTAACCTATTATTTAAAATCTTAACCTCGTGTTCCCGGTACACCCAAAGCCCTAATTTAAGTTTAACTTCTTTATTATTTAAAGTCTTAAACCTGTGTTTCTGATACACCTAAAGGCCAAAGGTGGTTCCACAACTCACTCTATCCAGCCCATCTGAATATAATCCTCATAACTATTTCTAACTACATCTTAAACGTTCCATGTAATTCAGTTGATTTCTAACAAGGTACATGCCATTCGCTGGAAAATTTTACAATAACTTCTATTGTCATCTCACACCAACACAAATTCAGGCAGCTACGCTCTTTATACAAATTCCAGGCGATTCCTCAAAACCATCCTCTTCTCAAACACATCAATGGCATGTGCATGCGTGCACACGCAACTGCATAAGCATGCATACACACACTAACAAGTTATAGAAACAACAAATGTGGAGCATTAACCCAGGAATCCATTATCTACCTATTGTATGTCTCCCATGACCACTATAGCACAGATCAACCTATCTATTTGATCAAGGGCTTATCCAAAAACAACTTACCCCCAGTTGACCAGTATATGATTAAAAACGGGGGTAGTTGCTAATTCAGTGAAAGCCAAGTATATACTGCAAAACTGTTTTTCTTCAAAAAACTTGAACCAGACTCGATAACTCGAATATTTAAGATTTGCTAGCTTGTTTAAAAATAGCATTAACAAATGTTATTATTCATTTTCTATCTTATCATAATGCGATATTTTCTATGTGAAGCTAGTAAAGGAGTAGCTATGGTATTTTATTAGCTGTTAAGACTAAGGAAAGTTAATTGTTTTTCTCTTAAATTCATATTTGTAGGTGGGGTGGGCCTCTTTCACAAATTTGGTTGGATCAACAACTAGCCTTACAAAAACTCATATTATCTCGTATGATGGAGCTCGGAATGACTCCTGGTACAGATTATTTCCTATTGCACATAAACAGTCTTCATGAACTTTTGTTACATACTGATGTATATCTACAATAATATGAGATAATTGATTAAAGTAATTGGTTTCTCATACATTGCTTAATATAGTGAATATCAACACTAACCTATGAAATAATTTCTCTACTACAAATAAAGTTATATAACTTAGAATCATGACTTAGCATTGTAATTTCACCCAAGGATCAAATTAGACTCAAGTAACCTTTAATTAAAGCATACAAACAAGAAACAAAATAAATAACAATTTTTACCCAAAAGTTTCTTTGTATTTCTTTCTCCAGGCAATCATCTTTCTTTCTATTTGTTTGACCATTTCTTTTTCCCAATCTGTTGATTGCTGCTAGGATGATGGGCTTACAGTTCAGTTTCATCCCCTGCAACGTCCTCTCCACAAACCGTAGTGTCCAGCAGATGCTCGTTTTGCATATTATTTCTTATTAGATCCTGAAATTAGACCTACAAACAGAAAAAATATATTACATATTACTTTGTTCTTGATTAAATAACTAATATTCAATAAGGGGCAGAAACCACTGCATCAACTTATGAAAGACCTTCAATGAGGGAATTAGTACTAAGCCACTTCTTGTATCAACTTATTTTTTTAACTTGACCTTTAAATTCTGTTTAACATCAATAGGCATCATAGTTCTTAAACAGAATTATTCTTTGACCACCCGAAGCTTTTCTAATACATTAATTAGGTGTGCAAGTGGCTGGGAGTTGTATTGGCTGCCAATGGTTTGCCCATAGTTTGAAACTTAAAACACTAATACAACATTGAGCGACTTTTGAGTCCACATGATCCAGAAAGGGAAGTTCTAATCATTATCTCAGGTCTAACTTATCAACCATGGATTAACCTTTCACTTTACCATATATTGTCTGAACTCATACTAGAATATGACGCAAACCCCAACAAACATAAAATGTTGCTTGTAATCAGGTTAGTCTAATTTGCACCGTACACTCCAGTCTCCAGTTACTCGTTTCGATCAAAAATTTCATCCCATATTTCTAGTTATTTGCTCTGGACAAGAGACACTAATCGAATCTTCACCCCTCTGCACAAGCACAACATATACACTACACTTGTATTTTCACATGTATCATGTAGCATTATACCACATTTTAAGTCCTGTAAAGCTTATCTCTGCAGTCATGTTAGAAAGTCACTTTACTGAAAAGATCAAGGCTATAGGTGTGTGTGTTAAAAAATGAATTAGCAAGCAACTCATAACATGCTTATTTCCGTGAAGGCTGTTAATGTTGTCTGGATTTGCATAACCTAAAACCTACTACTATCATCAGCACCAACAACTACTAGACCTATGTTTCTTGGTTATTTGAATCTAATTTCGCATTCAACTATGTTAATGGTCGTTTCCTCAATTAAACTAATAAAAAAAGATATTATTTTCTCTAGTCTCCATTCATTAACCAGAATACAAACAGCTGATGCATTATTCATCTCTATTTCACATGCCTAAACCTTCTCAATCCATATTTCCTTATTTTGAACCTCAGTTGAACGTATCTCTATCTTGACAAAGATATACTCACTTCTTGTTGGACAATATAGTGTTCTTCCTTGTTCATCCCAAGATTCTTACTTTAACCATGTAGCTATGCCTTTCTTTCATAGTTCTTTAATCCGTGAACATGGCCGGTAGAGTTATCCTGTAAAATATCCTCTTTGATTTTCATTGTTTTCTATGATCAAATGGTACTTTAGAATCACTTATCTTTAACCGTTCCAGTTTTACTTTGTATAGTACTGTTCTTAGTCATGAAGAGTGATTGATCCCACGTAGCGATGATTAGTGCCATGTATTTCATAATCATCAATATGCACTACAATCTCATTTTTCTCTTGAAGTTATGCTAAAGTTATAGTCTACACGTGAAAGTGAAAATGCAATTGAATAGTATCAAGTTTGGCAGGCTATTACAGTAGTCTAGGTGTTACGGGAATTTCACTCTTTCTCAACATGTAACTTCTGTACCGTGCACCAAATTTGATATTGTAATAGTCAATCGAATTGTATATGTATGTGTGTGTACACACACATGCACACACACTAGGTGGGATGCACGTATGTTGCACGTGGTTAAATACTTTGATTATTTCTTCTCGGTTAATGTCTTTATAGCAGTGGGCATGGGCCGGTTTGAACCATGTCGGGCGGGTTACCATAGGTCGAACCGGCCCGCCCGACATGGTTCAAGACCTGACCCGACTGATGCCGGAACGGGCCCGACCGGTTTGAACCATAGGTCGAACCGGCCCGCCCGACATGGTTCAAGACCTGACCCGACTGATGTTGGGCCGAGCCCGACCTGACCCATATTATCACTGGTTCATGGGCCGGGTTGGGTTTTGTTCTAAACCTGGGACTAAAGCCGTTGGCCCGACCCATGCTGGCCCGACACTCTATACCCATGGTATTGTTCTTTTTTTTTTCTTTTAAAAGTTGTAACTTATATTTAAACTAATGGTGTGTTTGGGAGATGACTAAGGGAAGAGAAGGAAGGGAAAATTTTTCCCTTCCTTCCCTTCTCATTCTTTACCCCCAATTTGAGGGGGAAGATTTTAGTTTAATTTTCCCCCTCATTCCCCTCTACTTTTCTAAATGGCACTCCCAAACAAAGGTAAATCAAAGTTTCCCTTCCCCTTCCCCTTCCCTTCTCTACCCTCCATCCAAACAAGCTATAAAAAAAAGTTATTGCTTTTCGTGGATAAAGCACTTTTGCTGAATTTCGAACCACGTATATCTGCGTGTTTATGATGTTTTTCTCTGAGATGTTCATCTTTGTGCGACACACACACACATGGGGGATCACACCATATCCCCATGCACTCCTCAACCCATATGAATGTAGTCCCCCATTTGAATGAGCGGAGAAGATTATGCCACCTCCCTACCAAGCATAAAATTTGTGCTTGGTACCAAGTATACCCATTTTTCTCATATATATATATATATCATTTTAAATAAAGAGTTTTTATAGCAAAAAATAAAATAAATATAATTTTATAAATATAAATACAAGTATAATCCACATAGAAAATTGAAAAAAATATTTCAAAAGAAAACGACCCGTGGGTTGAGTTATGCATGAACCAAACTAAAAGTACCCTAGAGGGGGAGAATAGGGTAATTGCTAATCTAATCCGATTATGATGCAAAACTAAAACTTATAAAGTAATTATCCTAACAATATGATATAAAATGAAATGTGCAAGGATAAGCAAGAGACAATAGGCGATGTAAACAACAAGCACAAGATATAAAGAGAAATAGGACGCCAAAACACAATCGCAAACACAAGATATGATCATAGAGTTCGGTCAACCCTCGATCTACTTCTCCGCTCCTCACCTCGAGGAGATCTTCACTATATCTCAAAATCTACACAAACGGTTTTCAAAGATCACTGATAACTTTTATAATACACACGATGTCAATCATACAAGCCACACTCCTCTAAGTGTTGGCCTACCCGTGTTAACTTCCTCAAGCTCCCTAGGCTTTACAACCAACCCACTTCTCTTGGAATTGACTCCGATCTCTCCCAAGCACTCTTCTAAGTGTTCTTGTGTATTACAATGTGTTTAACAATAAGTGCGGATAAGAGTTTTGTTCTCTAAACAAGTGAGAACGAAATATAAAGCTCTCTCAACGAATTACTATCACCACCCAATTATACTAGATGTGGAATACTAAAGCTCAAGTGGGTGTGTGTATAAACAATGAGTAAAACAAAATCAAACTCAAAACAATTTGGCATAAATATATGAGAATCAAAATATTAATTAGCTAGAGGAAGAGTTTAGAGAACTTCTACAAAACAAAGAGAGTTAGAGAATTAAGGATGAACGCCTCAAATACGAAATTGAGATCTTTCTCTTTGTGAAACTCTTTTCACATAAACAAACACATTTAAACTTTCTCAAAACTCTTGAAACAAACTGGCAAAAACTCTGTTATACTTCCATAGTCATTTCACAAATAAGTCTTGAGGGCTATAAATAGCCTCTCAACCAAAACAAAACAAAACAGCCAAAAACTAACCGTTACCAGAAAAAGAGCAGATCAATCGACTGGTTGATTTTTTCGGTCGACTGATCAACTAGCCGTTATAGTAACGAAACATGTTTTAGTCGAATGGTCAATGTATCGGTCGACTGAAGACACTGTTCGATTGACTGACTCTATTGGCCGGTCGACTGATCGACTGACAAAACTAATGCTGTAAAAACTATTTTTGGCAAGTCGACTAAAAAGTTTCATCGGTCAACTGAAAAGACTGTTCGGTCGACTGATCCAAGCATTCGGTCGACTGAAAAACTGATACAGCAGATACTTGAATTTTACTGAAAAGTTGATTTTCTAAATTCGATTTAAAATAGCAAAACAATTCCAAAAATAATAAAACTTAGGGAAACATTTATACATATAAAAATGAATATGTTAGAAGAGGAATTTCTAAAATAGCATTTCCCATTTGTGAAAACTCATTATTTTGCAAAACGGTTAAAAATACGAGTTAGTTGAACACTTGATTTTGATGAAACTATTTCAAACAAGTTTTGAGATACTTTTAAATGGATTAATAGACTTTAGAAAAGATGTAAAACAATATCATTAAATCAATAATCCAAAAACACGATATATTCCGAAAAAGTTATATAATACAATAAACCGAAATAATGTGTACGTGTATGATTTGGGCTTTAAGTATAAACACATAAAGTAAAAACCCAAAGCACTATACCCAGGCAAATAATCTTCGTTAATCTCGATCTTGGTAGCGGGGATGAAGCGATAATGTGTCTTTGACTTGAATGACATCATACTTCATTCCGATTTCCTCCAACCTCAATGAATATCATTGTTAACGTTCAAGTCCAACCAACCTCCAACCAGACGCTTGTCTAGGATACCTAGCAAGCAAACACAAATACTAGGAGACGGTGTTAGGAATTGTTTGTTAATCATTAAAAACAGATTAGACAATAGGTTCATAAACATAAGACCTAACACAAACTAGACGGGGTTAGGTCTAGCCCTAGATTTGGGTCAAAGAGGCAGAATCGACCCACTAAGGCTTGCCTAGGCCCGATTTTGAAACGGCCAGGCCAGTTCACGAGTTCGACGTGGCCTGGCCCACGCCCAACCCTGTCTGTTCAACATGATTCTAAATGATGTACACAATTCATGTGATGACATACATACTTTAAAAATAGTACCCGCATTAGAAACTTTTGACTTGCAATCCTAGATAAATGCATTTAGCAAAGAAAAAATAATGAAAAAAAACCTTCACTAACGATTCAAAACAATGCTTAATTTAGTGAGTTATCAGGATGTTTTTCAAGACGAGCAATACAAGAGGGCAATCTGTTCTTCTGAACTGGATGACAAAATAATTTTCCAATATCAATTTATAAGATGCAATACTAATTGTAGATGTGTAAACAAATTTGAGAGCACCAATTTATTAGAGCAAATAAACTAAATAAAATGTAAAATATATGTGGTGAAGAGAAATATGGGAGAAGTAAGAAATGATTTCCCCCCCTCCTATGGCTTTGCTCATACATTCATGAGTAGATGAAGACAAGTATATATGCTTATACAAAGCGTTTCATGATAACGCAAATTCTAAAAGATAGTTGAAACAAACTTCTATAAACCAATCCCTAAACATAAGAACTACTCTAGGGATGAATCGAACAAACTCCTAACTGAAACAAACTCTTAAAAGATAAAGATAAGCTTCTTACATCACAATGTAATTTATCCTATTAAAGATATTCTATTAATTAGGATTGGATTACATAACTGAAACAAACTCTTAAAGATAAAGATAAGCTTCTTGCATCACAATGTAATTTATCCTATTAAAGATATTCTATTAATTAGGATTGAATTACAATGTAATATTAAAAAAGGTTAAGGGTAATATTGACCATCGAAAGATTTACCCACACTTTTAAAGGTAGTGTGATATATAATAAAGGTAGAATAAACTTAAGTTGATTGAGGGCTCTATCCTTCAACTTTTTTATCCATTAGATTGTTTTGAAATTCGTGTTGGCATGTGATACACGTCAACACACGCATCTCAAAGATAATCTTGACGTGTATCATATACCAACATGAATCTTAAATCAAATCTAATGGATAAAAAAGTTGATGGACAAGTGCGCCTGCCCACTTAAGTTTACAAAAGTTTTACTCTCTCTCTCTGTTGATGGACAAGTGCTCATGCCCACTTAAGTTTACGAGAGCTTTACTCTCTCTCTCTCTCTCATATGTGTGTGTGCACGCGCATGCCTGTGTACTGCCAATATACATAATCAACAATTATTGTGCTCTGTATTTATCTACTATTTACTAGTACTACTATTGATATGATTGTACCATTGGTAATTCTTGTTTAACTTGTTGTGTTCAATTGAATTTCAGTGCTACCATCTTTCTCTGGGAATGTTCCAGCTGCATTTAAGAAAATATATCCCTCAGCCAACATAACCCGACTTGGTGATTGGTATGTTGTCTTTCACTTTTTATGAACAGTTTTCACTGATAACGATAGATTTTTCATACTCTGTAATTTTTTCTCTCTCTGAATTTTCAGTTAATGATTTATTGCTATAACCTTCTAGGGTTCCATGCGAATACAGTTATAGTTCTTTTTGTGTTCTCCATTATAGTTCGAAGCACTGGTCATTTGTTTTCTGCCTCTTCATCTGTATTATTAAAAGCATGCCAATCTTTAGAAATAAAGGTTGGTAGTAAAAATTCTTCCTTTTTCTTTTCAACCTTTTGGTTGTCTAGTATTCTGGTATGTCATATCACTATTAGATTCAAACACACTATTTTCCTTGGGGAAAAACTCGAATGTTTGCTTTTTCTGCTATAAACAGAGAAGGTAACATTTACTTGAATGCTATTGTTACAGTGCCTTCTGGCATGTCATGTTTGTGCGATAATACATAGTAGCGTAGCATTTTTTGAATAGTAGCACAATACCTTTTCAATTGACTTTCAGGACTGAAACTATCAGAAGCCTATAACATGATCTGGGAACAAATGATTGAGAAGGGTTATATATATTATGAGGTGGCTGGTCCACCTTTCTTCTTCAGAAATTTGATTTTGAAAATCCTTCAGGAGCTTATTGGAATATCTCCATAGGGCACTACAAAAGCATAATGAGTTCATTTGCTTTTGACTGTTGCTTCTCCAGGGAGATTTAGAATTTCAACAGAATTGAATGTTGCTTCTCCAGAGAGATTTAGAATTTCAACATAATTCAATCGTAGAACAAGGAATAAACAAAACTGACATCTCTTGGAGAGGGGGAAAAAAGAAAAAAGAAAAAGAAAAGAAGTCTGTCGGCATCTATGAGTGGCTCCACTGCAGGATATTTGATGCCTAATACACTTGTTCAAGTGATAACCATAGAAAAATTGCCAAACAACTATGCTATAAATGAGTAATGGAGCAAATCCAATAAATTGCTTGCTTGCTTGGGTAAATGAAGACCTTTGATGATGGTTATGGTAACTTGGTCCTTACTTCAATGGTGCATTCCAGGTTGAATGGGATACTTACTAAGAAACACATGAGGCTTTTCTGCTTATATATTGTCGTAAAAAGGCTAGAATGTTATTGATTAATTTCACATTTTTTTTGTTCCATGACTTCTAAGGGGAAGTGAATCACATATTGCACATGAGTGTTAAACTTTTATTGCCTATGGTTGGTGCTTATGTAGCAAGGACATTAATATTCTATTTAAAACAGTATCTATGTAGCCCATTTATTGGGCATGATACTCTTGCTATGTCTAATGCTATATGCTTTATTGTTAGGAGTTTATATGATAATGCACTTTGTCTTTGTTTTCTTGTTATGGGTTTGAATTTTGTAGTTAAAGGATTAGTCAATGAGTAATGCTAATATGCTTCACACAATGACTTCATTTAGGAACACAGTAAATGGTAATCCACGGTGGTGTTGTACATTTCTTCTTGATCCAGCTGATCCTTTATTTGTTAAACTCGGCGAGGCATTTATCAAGCAGCAGATAAAAGGTTTGCATCCTGTACTGCTTCTGAACTTTAAGACATTTATTTAGTTTTATCCGCTCAGGGGTCATGAAGGTTGAGGAATTAGTGGACATCACGTGCTACACTGAACATAGTTAGAAGACATTGTCGAACCAGCCAAATTCTCCTTACTGAATCCATGTACAAATTTCTATCCATCATATCAAACATTAGCATATTCTAGAGTAAGAAATTTAATTAAAGTCATAAATATAAACTAATCATGCTCTTGATTTTCTAGATATACATCCAATCTCTTTAAATTTGATCAAGGGCCTATCTACCAGTAGGTCGGGATGAACCTACATGACTCCACATTCGGGAGTGGTATAAGGAACCATACCCTTCTCCTTTCGCTGATGAGGATCGAGGTTCATAATCTTGGTCTCTGCTTGAGGAATTGGCTTCACACCGTCCTGAACTTAAACTTCTGCGAAGTCTCTAAACTGCAACGAGACCATGTTCGCCGATACCTTCTTCTGATCCGTCTGAAGAGTCATAACACCTGCATCCAACAAAGCTTGAATTTTATCTTTCAAAATATAACATGCCTTGGTCGGGTGGTGCACCATCCTGTGGTACATGTAGTAATTGGGATCATCGGTCCTCGAGACTTCTTCAGGTCGCCTCAAATCGGGGAACTTAATCTTATTCATCTTTATCAAAGACTTGAAGATCGAGACGATGTTCTCATCTTTAAAATCATATTTCTTCTGAAAGCGATTATCAGAAAAATTACCTTTCTGTTTTGCAGAGGACTTAGGAGAAGGGTTAGCGTCCACCGCCAAAGTGTCTTTCCCTTTTGCTTGCTTTTGAGGGTTGAAGTTGCCTTTATTCGCTCCTTTTTTGGGGTGAGACTCATGACGTTCTTCTGCCTCTATCCTTTTGAGCATATTCTCGACCTGCTCTCCCTGCCACACCAAGTCCTTCCACGAACGGGCTTCCACAAGGCCTATCTTGGATAATATGCTGATAGAAAGGTTGTTGCGGTACATCTCCACAAGGGTAGCCTCAGAGACTTAATCGTGTGAATGCAACAATCGATTTCTGAATCTTTTGACAAAGTCACTAACAGACTCTGTCTTCTTCTGTTTTTCGGCCAACAATGTAGCTATGGACACCTCAGTGTCATCATCAAAGAAACAAGCTAGGAAGAGCTTTTCTAAATCCCTCTAACTTTTGATTAACCCAGGCTCGAGTCTGCGAAACCACTGAAAAGCTACCCCTTTTAGGATACGGATAAATAGTCTAGTCATAATAGGATAATTACCCATTATGTGTCCAGTCTGTGCCTGAAAATAATAGATATGCTGGGTTCGAGAACCTTTACCATCGAATTGTACTAAATTTGAACTTTGGGGGATATGGAACGGTATCCCACTTGGCTGGATAAGGTCTAGCTACCCCCGGGTCCTTGAAATTTTCTTGGAGCTTCAATGCGTCAAGTTGCTTCTAAAAATCATCCAATTTTTGGTCCCGTATTTTCGTACGAGGATTGGATTCAGCTTCAGATGATTCAGAATGAACCCTAACGACATTTTCCTCTTCATCGTCTTCATCATTGTCATGCCGACGACCGTTCTCTCCCTCGGCATGTGAAGGTCGCCTAGGTTTTGATCCTAAGGCTTGAGGAGGAACCTTCTTCTTCTTTCTTTCTCCCTGAGGAGTTTCTCTACCATTACCTCAAAGCGTCTGATAGACTCCTATTGTTGACGAATGATTGATTGTTGTTCTTCCATCTGCCTCGTCAGGTCCTCACTTCCAGTTATGTGAGCACTTGTTTACTTTGATCGGTGTTGGAAGGCTGAGAGCTTACAATAGCTGAGTTCTCAGGTTCTTCATCAGTCTCATCTGTGATGCCCGCTAGTCGTCGGTAATCAAACGGGATCACCACACCAGTACGAGTATGAGTGTGCTGATATACTCCCTGTCATTCGATAAGTATTTCACCTAACCCTGGGGAGTATTCCGGATCAGAAAATTCGGAAGAATCAGCCGAGGTTTTGCTCTTGTCCTTGCTGACCATGTTAATCGTCACCTCAATGTGGCGATTCTTAGGTGTTTGTTTCTTAGGACGAAAGCGTCTTCTTCTCGATGATGAGATCGTTGACGACTCAGTCAACCATTCAAAGACTGAAGATTTACATGCCGACTCCCCACATGGGCATTGGGAAAGTACTGCATAAATAATCTTCTCACATCAGCAATGAGATTGTATCTGATTCATGCTACGTTTGCGTGTGAGATAATCACGGAGGTCGACGGTGGGACTACCCCCAGCTGACTTCATCGACTTAGCTTTACCCGAGCGAGACCCTCTAAATGATAGAGGTTGACGAACTTGGGCAATTGGACGAACTTCGTCATTCATGTGTTTATAACGAGGTTCGTTGATAGAACAAGCTTGGCGCATTCGCCTTCTCGGTTCGTTCTTAATCTGAGGTTCACTCTCTTGATGAACCTCGGAGTGAACCACTTGCTGAATTGATTGAACCTCACTTTATGGATGAGGTTCGTTCTCTAAGCCTACTCGGGTACAGGGACGAGCTCCGTCATTTGACGTTCCTCGGCCACTTGACCCTCGTCAGACTTGTTGACCTTGGGCTGATCAGCTCTCGGTCGATAGTGGAAACCGTCTAGTAAGACCAAGGCTCGATTCCTATGACGAGCTTGATTCTGGCGCTAATGTTGTTACGCACGTCTCGAAAGTGGACGTACAGAAACTCTCACTTTAGCCGAAGCTGGGCGAAGTTCATTATCAGAAGTCAAGGTTTGGCTAGCCGAAACCGAAGTTCGGCTAGGTTGTTTAACAACCCATTTCTTAGCCTGACGACTAGTTGTTGGAGCCTCCTCTTTGAGGGGCATACACTTTTCCTTAAGGCCAACTCGAGTTGAATCATTAGAAGCCACTTGGGTTGAAGCCTCATAAGAGTCTCGACGGCACTTTCGTGTCTTGGTGGGACTGGACTTACCAGAGGAGGTGGACTCCTCATACTTCGTCTGGTCGAATTCTATGACCAGAGTTTCTACCTCGGTTCCCACTGTAATCTTGTCTGACTGCACCACCACCATCTCATCGGAAACAATGGCTGCTCCCACTGTGGTCGTCATTGTCTGTAAGGTCGAAAAATTAATGTTTGATTGATTTCTTATTTTAAGAATGTGTTCGATCACTTAGTACGAATCCCTTACAATCGCTCACACACTCTCTCGATTACAAATGAAGAGAAGATTAACTCAGCTTCTCTTTTGTTTAAAAGTGTGCTCTTGGTGGCGAAAGGATGTTTCTTTCAATGCTCACGTCGAGATTACTTCCCATTGACGATTAGAACAAGATCACAAAAGCTTTTGATGGTCGGTCAATGATCTCCTTTTGCGTAGCAACAAAAGATCAAGGCTCCAAGGTCTCTCTCTGAATCTAGTCTCTTCGAACTCCCTTTTTCATAGCCGCTCATAACTATTTATAGGGTTTCAGCACGTAACCAACGTGCTAAAATTATGGGTAGAGGGCGCAACTGCCTTATTCAATTCAGCCCACATCGGCTAGTGGGGATGAAACGTGCTCCTGAAGCTTAGCCCACGTGGCTGACTAAGTCTTCAAACCGTTATAGCTGGATCGCCTGCGGACAACGAGCCTCGCTGTATGGCGAAGTTCATCTGATTGAACGGGCCTCAATATGCAGCGAGGTTCGTCTTCTAGGACCAACTTTGTAGTATAACGAATTGTCTTCACTGACCTCATCTGACGAGCTTCGTATTCACCAACGAACTTTGTCTTCGATAGCTGAGTCCTAACTGCGTAACGAGCCTCATTTTCACTAACGAGCTTTAAGTCTGATGATATTCAACTCCGAACTCCGAACTTCATATCTTATGACAAACTCCGAACTTCGTTTTCAATGACGAGCTCCGAACCTCGTATCCAACGACGAGCTTCGAGCTTCGTTTTCAGTGACGAGTTTCAAACCTCATATCCAACGACGAGATTCGAACTTCGTTTACAATGATGAGTTTCGAACCTCGTATCCAACGACGAGTTTCGAACTTCGTTTCGAATGACGAGTTTCGAACCTCGTATCTAATAGGGATCCTCGCTGGGTGGCGAGGTTCGTCCTTATGATGACCCTCATCATATTTTGAAGTTCGGCATTTTTTAATGCCTACAGTACTTCATCGATTTCCACCTTCAACCCTACAAGGAATTTAAAGATTCGATCATTCTCCACCATCTTTCGTTGGTGTTTGTAGTCGTCTAGCGATTTCCACTCGTAGGTGTTGAACATGTCAAAATCCTGCCAAAGTTTCTTGAGCATGTGGAAATACTTGGTGACAGTGTTGTCTTTCTGCTGGACCTCTCCGAGTTGGAGCTGCAGCTTGTACACATGCGATTGATTATCTAGATCAAAGTACATCTGATGAATGCTGTCCCAAAGCTCCTATGCAGTCGGGTAGTTCATGTAGTTGGAGGCGATGTCTTCATCCATGGAGTTGACGAGCCACACCATCACCATTGAATTTTTTGTATCCCAGGTCGCATAAGTTCTCTCTGCACTTGCGGGAGCCTTCTTTTCCCTGGCCATGTAGCCGATCTTGCCTCTTCCTCGAATCACCATTCGTACGGACATCGACCAGCATAGGAAATTATCGCCATTAAGACGAATACTGGTGATCCAGAAGGAATGAGATTCATGGACAGAGAGTCGGTTTTCTTGTGAGGGTTTTGTGTTTGAGGGAGGATTTGTGGTTTCTGAGGATATATCCGACATGGTTATAGGTTAGGGATAAGGAGAGGTTGCTGGAATAAGTCCAGAAAATTTTCTAATGAGCGGAACAGTATTCCTGCTCTGATACCATCTGGAAAAATAAGGAAGAATTGAATAATTCATTCATTGATTTTCATAGTTTACATGAAGGGCTATATATAGAAGTATGTCAGCCCACTAATATAGGAACTAACAACTAATTCAGTAACAAACTACACAAACAGTAACAAACTAAACAAACTAAAGTATTTAAAATACACATATCTACAAATATCTAATCTATTCCTTGATTATAGCAGGTTGACTCTAACTAATGTAATCTTCTTTTCAACATTTATCAATTATTATAATTAAATAATTTAAAAAATAGCTAAATGCCTAGGCGTACGCCTTGGCATCTAGGCGCTAGGCGCTGGCTCAAATGCCTAGTCCGCTTAGCGCCTTCTTTAACATTGCTTGCATAAATCATCGATGGGCTTTGGTTTTGGTCATGGTGTTTGGAGAGCTTGTGATGATCAATATGATCCGGAAGTTTGACAAAGGTTGAGCACGATGTGATCACAGTAGTCCGGGTGTGACATTTTGAGTGATCAGGGGTGCTTGTTTGGAAGACAATGATGACTATATTTGTTTGTTCCCGGGTGGTGGAGCATGGTGCATGTGTGGTGTTTATCTACGAAGTAGATGACGAGAATATTGGAGTATCTCTATGTGTGTGAAGCTCGGAATCCTAATTACCTGTGGATGGTTGGTGCCTGGAGATGTGGCCCATGGTTCCCGTAGAGAGGTTGAGCCATATTCACAAGATGCGGCTCAGATACGAGCCAACGTGGAGATTGTTGGGATATGTCTTGTATCTATTTTAGTATCCATTAAGCTTTGAGCCTGGTGGACTTTAGGGCCAAGCTTGCATTAGGGTTTAGCACTATATATGTCTCTCATGTGAGAGGGATTGGAGAAGAGATTGGGGGTTTGGAGAGGACATGAGTGGATACTGTATGTATGTGTGGTGTATGTGAGGTTGAAAGAGGATGAGAGATAAGTGATTCTCTTGTATTGTTCTCCCTCTTACATAGTGGATTTCTCATGTCGTTTGCCCTGTGGATGGAGGTCGAAATTAGAATTGGGGATCGTGGAAAGAGGATGAGAGATGAGTGGTTCTTTGTGAACTTGTGTTTTGATCTCCGGGTTGCGGAGATTGAAATCGGGGATCGTTGATTCCCCAACACTAAAGTACAAAGGAGATTGGGTGGATGCAATGTTTTGGTTGATGTAAAGAGTCATTTTTTCATTAGGGCAACCACACCATAATCATCCACAAGAGAGACAGGTGTCTGCCTGTACATCGGCATCACCCTCACAATGAAAACCTATCACTAATCTGGGTTGGTAATGTATTGTGCTTCTCTACTGGCAACAACTTGGATTAGGGAACTGGCAGTGAAGCCGGTTTGACTTGGTTCCAAACCCACCTAATAGTCAACAGTAAATTCTTCATTAGCAAACTATGAGGGAATACTCCATAATCTTACTAGACGACCTGCTTGATGGATGTTACATAATTCCATGATCTTCTGCATGTTCGATTTCAAGGTTGATTATCAACAAAAGCAAAATGGCAAAAGGGCATATCCAGATATCAGCTTTCAAAATATGATAATTGATGATTGGAGTATCTAGTAAGGGCAATGGGTCTCCTGAGTGATTCTAAAGCTTCCAGCCTCTATTAAATGACATCTCTAAGGCATAGTCAGAAAGCTTGTCCTTTTCATTTTTTTAACGGCTTCTTAATATATGTTGAAATCAGAGAATTAGAAAGATTAGTATAGAGAAGTTAGAGACTCAGTTCCTTATGTAATTAGGATTTGGACTAGTCTTCTATTATTAATATAAATAAAGGTAGAGAGGAGAGGTAAATGAACTCTCATCTCTGTGATATCTTCAATCAACTTGGCATCGGAGCTAAATCCTTAATCATAGAGTGCTCTTTCTTCTTCGCTGACCTGGAGGGGATTTTTTTTTTTTTGGGGGGGGGGGGGCTGCGAGAAAAAGCTATTGAATAGGGTTTCCTCAAGTTGTCGTCGCCTGTCCCCGTCATCATCTCTTTTCACCCATAGTTATCAGGAATTTGTTGTTTTCCTTGTCTCCATAGACTCGCCTCGCCCTCACCCTCACCGTCAATTAAGAAATTTGTCGCCTTGGCCACCCGATTTGCCTTTGTCCACACTGCCCTTGCAAGTCGACAAAATCTTCCTCCAACCCCCGCTGATGCTTCTGTCGAACAAATATGAGAAAATGGAAGAAGCATGGACAACATTAATGAATAAAGATAGAAAACCGGCATCAGAAGTATAAAAAAGGCAGTTAAATGCCATTTTCTGGGAAGCAAGAGCAGCATCTGGAGCATGCTGTATAAGTTCATGTAATAGCACTATAGCAGTGCGTCAGAAGTAGGTAACTGCTACAGAAGAATTGTATCTATTTTGTCACAGTATGATATATTTAACAACTTGATGAGGAAGTTATAATGTAAGATGTGTGGGGCTGTTATGCAGAGGAGGGCAGTGAAAGAATCCCAACATGGGGATAAGAACAGCATGATTTAGCAACCTTAACTGGTAAAAGTGTTCTCTTCTCTCAGTGATGGAGATGACTGATCTTAACTGGGAATGGGAGAACTTGATCCAAGCAGCAAACTGAAGCTGACAATAGCAAAGAGCTCAAAGGAAGACAAAACTTGTCTTCCAGATCTGGTTAGCAAAGGTCTTAACATTTCAATTTAAAAAAATATATCAGATGCAATGAGTTGTTATAGGCTATAGCCAATGGAATTCGGAATATTTCGCTGCAATGGGTGCTATGTCACTGCTATTTATTTTTCAATCTGAATCGATCATTAATTGTAAAAGATGAAGGGAGCATGCGATTGATTTCAAGAATTGTGGCATCCTCGCTAGGATCCATTAATAAGAATCTACATCGGCAATGTCTGTATTCTTCTAAAGAACCTCAAATCATCTAGAAACTAGAGTTGTCTCAGATACTTGCAAAATACTGGTTTTTGATGAAGCATTCATTTGCAAGTAGTTCTCTTTACTTCATAGATGGTCCTCCATAGCTGAATTTTTTCGGACATGTAATTGTTAATTTAAAAATTGTGTCTACTTCGTAAGTAGTGCAAGTTAAAGCTAAAGTGTAAGGTCAACTAGTTTTTACCTTGGAGATGGAAAACAAATTAGTCTTTCAGTTTCAGGTCATTGCTTATACTCTCCAAAGGCTACAGTTACAATTTTTCTTGCTTAGGGATAGGTGCCAAATAACACAAAGACATAAAGTTAGTTAGAAAATAGCATTCTTATGCAGAAAGAGGTGGGTCTACTTTCTAAAAAATTGCCAAGCTAAAATCTAAAGCATAAACTTGACATCTATGTTGGAGAGAGAGGACACGAGGTATTCTTCCAAGTCACAAATTTCCTTCTTCCTCGAAATGCTACAGTAATCTATTCTTGATTACGGACCGATGGCAGATAACTATCATATCAACAAATTGAATAGTTTAAAATGATATTTTGGGTCAAAAACTAGCTAATGGCTTAGCAAAGGGTGTAATGTGGAATGGTCTGAGAAGTGATTTTTCTCTATCAAAATTTTAATATAATCGAGTTTTTTCAGATGATGTTCTCTGAAGATTGAGTAAAGGATAACAAGTGATTTTGGTCCTTAAATTAAATAGTCTACTACACTTAGTAGTTATCCAATATATCCCGTAATTTTTTTCATAGGAGATAACATCCCGCTATTGATTTTTCCATATCCTGCACTGGTCAAAAGATATGGCCAAGATAATATCGTGGATTTCATTCAACTGGAAAAGGTTTACTAGACAATCTGCATGTGACTTATGTCCTTTGAAGGGGCACAAACTTTAAAATTTTTCTTCTTTATTCCTTTTCAAGTTACAAGTCTGATAAAAGATTATTACCTCTTTTCTAACAGATATTCTGACTTTTTCCACTCCAGTCCGTGAAAGGACCAATCATCATATATTCTGTTGCATCTTTTGAACCTTCTTCATGATATATAATTTGTTTAGCTGGTACAATTATCAGTTCTGCATCTCATATCTAAAACCACTTTCTTCTGAAGGGCATCTCATATCTAAAACCACTTTCTTCTGAAGGAAACTAGTTATAATTCTTTTGTCAAGAATGATATAAACTTTTCATTTCTACTGTCGAATTCACAAAGAATGTCATTTCAGATTATTACAGAAATATGGATAACCAAGTTCACCGCTAAAGAGTTGTCTAGAATGTTTCTTTTGGCAACTCTCTAAATTGTCATCATAGTTTTCTATATACAGTTTTAACCATGACTGATAAAGTGTATATCATTCTTGAGCATTATAAATTTGTTACTAATCTCAACTTTCTATCTTTGGTATAACAGAATATGGAGACGTAACTGACATCTACAATTGGTAATTCCTTCTTTTTTATGTCTCAGTGACTAATTCTAGAAGTTACATTCATACTTTTGATTTATATTCTTTTGATATTGCTTTTATTTGTATGTTTGCTTTCTCCCTGAATGTATGTATCCTCTTTATAAATTATATGTATAAATGTATGCATCTCATGTCAGGCTTTTGAAACCAAATTTGATTACTGCAAACAAGAGAGAGGAGAGATTGCATAAGTAGAAGAAAACAATTAAAAAATCTATTATTTTGGCGGAACAGGCTGCTGTTTTATTTTCTTCGCGCTATATTTTTAGTAGAAGATTAAAAAATACATGGGATGTAATTATAGTAAAATAGTGAAGAGGAATGAGCACATAGTATGCAATGACAATCAAGAAATATGTAAGAGTAATCACTACCATTCTTTAGAATTAATCATTCGCCAAAATGATGAGATTGAGGATGATTTGGTTCATTGAACCAAATAAGGATGCTTAGAATCGAGGAGAGTTTCTGAAGTCTTATGAGTTTAGACAACCCAAGAGATTGAAAGGAAAGTTCTACAGGAGAACTATAAGACAAAAATGTTTTATGGATCGGAATGTTGAGAAATTAAGAAAAAATATGTAAAAAAATTAAGTGTAGAAAAATTGATATGGATGCGAATTGTGTCCCCAATTATGCCCCATGAATGCTGAGGCCTCGTTTGGTATGCATGAATGAGTGAGAATGGAATGCCAATTATTATTTCTTATTCCTTCATACCAATTAAAACCTCTTTTCAGAAACTAGAATGCCCATTCACACTTAACATAAAGTGGGAATGAGCATATGCAATGAGATGATAGAGAATGAGCATTCCCATTTACGTGAGAAGAAAAAAAAGCAAATAATTTCCATATATGTCGATTCTCCATTCACTCTTGTTAAAGTTTGGAGAGAAAAGAGATTATTGGAGAGTTATCCCCTCATTCTATACTTTATTTATAGAGATGGATTAGTTACAAGTTAGTCTCACAAGCAATGTGAGACTAAACTAATATTCTCTTCTTCTAACACTTTCCCTGAAGCTGGAGCATATATGTCATACATGCCCAGCTTGTCACAAATAAAGTCAACCCGTGTTCGACTAAATGATTTTATAAGAATGTCTGCCAACTGATCTACTGTGGATACATGTTCTGTCGTGATGATTTTATCCTCGAGCTTTTTGCAGACTACATGACAGTCGATTTCAATATGCTTGGTTCTTTCATGAAACACGAGATTCTCATCAATGTGAATTGCTGTTTTATTGTTGCCATATAGATCCATGAGACATTCTGAAGGGAGATCGATTTCTGTCAATAGGTCTCTGATCCAAACCATCTCTAGTGTCACATTTGTCATATCTATGTATTCTGATTCTGCATTGGATCGAGATACAACACTTTGCTTCTTACTTTTCCATGACACTAGATTTCCTCCGAGAAAGACACAATATCCAGTAGTTGATCTCCTATCAAAAGAACATCCAGTCTAATCTGTATCAGAGAAGCCCGCAACTCTGGTGTGTCCTTGATCTGAGTAGAGAATTCCTCGTCCTGGAGCTTTTTTCAAGTACCTCAAAATTCTCATTATTGCATTCAAGTGAGTAGTTCTTGGTGTGGACAAGAACTGACTCACAATACTAACTGCGAATGTGGTGTCATGTCTGGTCACCGTCAGATAATTCAGTTTTCCCACCAATCTTCTATACTGTCAAATATCTTCAAAAAGCTTCCATTGATCTGGTAGTAGTTTTGAGTTCACATCTATTGGAGAATCATTTTTTCTGCATCCTAACATCCTAGTTTCTGAAAGCATATCCATGACGTACTTTCTTTGTTACAGAAGAATACCCTTCGTTGACTTTGTGACTTCAATGCCTAGCAAGTATTTTAGGGAACCAAGATCTTTGGTTTGGAAATGTGTTTGGTTTGGAAATGTGTGTAAATGCTTCTTCAGGCTGTCATTACCAAAACCATCATCCCTTGTAATTATAATGTCATCCACATAGACAACAAGCAGAATTCGTTTTCAATTCTGAAATCGTCAGAAAACAGAGTGATTTTTCTGTGCACGACAGAGCCTAAATTCCTGAATAACTGATGCAAAACGTCCAAACTAGGCTCTCGGAGATTGTTTCAGACCATAAAATAATTTTTTCAGCCTACACCTTCGCATTCTCTCCCTGAGCAACAAAACCTGGTGGTTGCTCCATGTAAACCTCATCATCTAGAATACCATTAAGAAATACATTCTTGATGTCCAACTGATGAAGTGGCCAGTGATTTGTTGCTGCTAATGAGATAAAAATCCGAATAGATGTTATTTTTACCACTGGAGAGAAGGTATCTAAGTAATCTAAGCCATACATATGCGAATAGCCTTTAACAACTAGTTGGGCTTTCAGGCGTGCCAAAGTTCCATCAGGATTCAATTTAATAGTGTACACCTACTTGCAGTCGACGGGCCGCTTTCCTGGTGAAAGTGGGACCAAATTCCAAGTCTTATTCTGTCGCAAGGTCCTCATTTCGTCTTGCATCGCTTGGTTCCAACCCGGAATAGACAGGGCTTCTGGCACTTTCTTGAGAACCAAATATGAGTCGAGGAAATAACAAAAGATCGAAAGGTGGAGGAGAGGCGATCATAAGAGACAAAGTTAGAAATAAGATATTGAGTACAAATTCGTGTCCCTTTTCAAAGTGTAATAGGAAGGTCTTTCGCAGAAGGGAGTAAATTTGTACTTACTGATTCTGGTTCTTCTGACGAAGGACATGGTGTTGAGGCCAACGTTGGCTTAGGAGCAGGAGTAGAGCGATGATGATTAACTTGAATTGGGTCGTTAAATCGAGCGGAATCTTTACCAGTAACGTAAATAGTATTGTCAGTAGATGAACCACCACCGTTAACCAATGACTCTTGTAGGATTAAATAGTCATACTTATCCGATGATAATAGAGTTAGAGAACTAGAATAACCGGGTTTGTCTTCAAAGAATGTTACATCAGCAGATAACACAAGACGATTGAGTGATGAACAGAAACACTTGTAACATTTATGTTTTCGGGAATAGCTAAAAAAATGCCTTTAATAGATCGAGAGTCAAACTTTTATTTGTTTGACTGTGATTATGAACAAAGCACAGAGCAAAAATCTTTGGAGGAAGTGAAAATAGATTATCGTTGGGGTATAGAACTTTTAAAGGAATTTTATCTTACAGAATAGAAGAGGGCATTCGATTAATCATGTAACATGCTGTTAGGATAGCTTTCCCCCAAAACTCTTTGGAAACGTGACGATGAAATAGCAATGTTCAAGCAATATCAAGGAGATATCTATTCTTTCGTTCAACAACTCTATTTTGTTGAGGAGTGTAAACACAAGAAGACTGATGGAGAATTCCATGTTGTTAAAGAAAACTAGTGAAGTTACCATCCAAATATTTCTTTGCATTATCAAACCGAATTTTTTTTATCGAAGTCTTGAATTGATTGACTATTTCAGAATAAAAGAGTTTAAATGTAGAAAAGACTTCAGACCTAGATTTGAGAAGATAAATCCAAGTAACACGAGAGTGATCATCCACAAAACTAACAAAGTATCGGAATCCCAGGTTAGAAGTTATTGAGTATTATGACCCTCAGACATCAGAATGAACAAGATCAAATGACTTTACAGCTCTTATTGACTCGATTAGGATAAGATATACGATGGTGTTTGCCAAGTTGACACGACTCACACTCTAAAGAGGAAAGAGATTTGAACTGGGGATTTAGAAGCTTGAGAACAGAGAGAGGAATGCCCTATCTGACAATTGTATTATAGAGCTGATGAGTTTCCAATACAAGCTAAATGTTTGGCGCCCAAGTCTAGTTTATAGTGGCTGTTTTGCTCATGCCCTGTCCCAATCGTTTTCCTCATGACCAAATCTTGAAAGACACAATGTGTGGGGGAAGAATGCCACAGTATAGTTTAATAATTTAGTAATATTACTAACAGATAAAAGGTTATAGGGAAAACTAGGAAGATAGAATACGGATGAAAAGGGGAGCCTAGGTGTAGGATTGGTATTGTCGACACCCTGAACAGGTGTACGTGAACCATCAGCTAATATAACTGAATTAGATGTAGGAGAGAAAGAGGACATGATACATTGATTCCCAGTCATATGATCAGTGGCACATGTATCTATAATTTAAGTATGAGATGAAGACGATGAAAGTAAATATAAAGAGGTACCTGCACTTTTGAGAGTAGTGCATAAAGAGGAGGATGATGGTTGTGAACTTTGGTACTGCTGGAATAATTAAAATTGCTGAAAATGACGCTACAGCTCTGCATCCTGAAAGACTGAATGTAGTTGACTTTTACTATTAGATGAGGTGAAGTTGTCCTGAGCGGCCATGTAAGCACCCTTAGTTTTCTTCTTTTCCAATTCAGGATAATTATATTTGAGATGTCCTGATTGGTGACAGTAGTTACAAGTCTTCACCGAGTCATCGCTATTAGTATGTCTGTCTTGAGATGGACCTCCATGGCCACCTTGTTGACCACCTCAGCCCCCAAAACGACCAGTGTGGTAACCTCTTCTCCCTTCAAAGTTGCTTCTACCTCTTCCAGGACTACCAATATGACCCCCTCGTCTATAAGACTGCTAACTCTTAGTGGCAAGCGCAGAGCGATCCACGATGGATGTAAGTGGCTTTACAGGGATAACGTTCTTCAAAAAATGATAAGTCTCAGCCAGAAAACTAATGGAGGAACTCCCCATGATTTGTGGTCGAGCAGAGGAGTAAATGGAATCTAGGGTACCCAAGTAAGTGAGTACCATAAGTTTATTCCATTGGTTTTGCATCTGTTTTACATCCACAGTAATAGAAAAAATCTGACGAAGTTCCTCAGCCAGACGATTAAACTCACCATAATGATCATCCATAGGTTTACCATCCTGTTTCTTACAAAACAACTCTCGAATAACTTCATATGCTCGATTAATATTACTGCTACCCACATAGAGATCTTGTAAGAAACACCAAAGTTCCTTCACTGTCATACAATGAAGAACTAAATCCTGAATTTTAGGCTCCATAGTATTAAGAATCTGATGTAAGAGGACATTATCATATAATGTCCAAGACTCCGGTGTCAGAGGGTTCGTCAATAAATGACCAGCTTTACCTCGGCCTGCCACGTAGATTTTAATAACACGCTTTCACTGGAAATAGTTAATTCCATCAAGTTTTCGGTCAGTGATTCTACTAGAAAATATCTCTAAAACTTTCGTCTGGACCGTTAACTCAGAATTCGTGAGTTCCTCAGATCCGACCATCATGAAACAGACGAGTAGAGATCAAGACGATACCCTACACAAGTTAAACAAGTCCAAGAGCCCGAAGGTTAACAATACAAGAACCCGAAGGTTATCATACAAGAACCCGAAGGTTAAAATGTAAGAGTCCGAAGGTTAACATGAAACCCGAAGGTTAAAATTTAAGAACCCGAAATTTTTTTTGGATAACAATTCGCAGATCTAAGTCAGATCTGAAATCAAAGGGACATGACAGCGACGATTATTGACGACGAGCGGGAGTTGTCGAGGAAGATCGGATCGGTGAAGTGGATCTGGATCTGGAGTTTCCTCTGTGGATCACCGATTCAACGATCCGAGTCGGACATGAAGGAGGTTTGACGTTGATGTTTCGATTGTGGAAACAAGAACTGAAGTGAATATCTTAGCAAGGTAAGATAAACACTCTTCTCAAGATCAAATCCAAGTTTGAACTCGAGGAAACACCGAGCAAGGTAAGATATCCAAGTTGTCAAGGAAGCAAGTGACAACGAACAAAGCAAGTTGCGGTGGTGGCGGACGAAGCAGGCAGCGACGAATTTGATCTTTGGCGGCTAGGGTTTCGAGAGAGAGGAGAGGAGGCGGCTAGGGTTTCAAGAGAGAGGAGAGGAGGCGGCTAGGGTTTCGAGAGATAGGAGAGGCGGCGACTAGGGTTTAGGAATTAGGGTTAATGTTAGAACAAGTAGCGGTGGGAATTAGGATTAGAGTTTAGGGTTTAGGAGGCTCTGATACCATGTTAAAGTTTGGAGAGAAAAGAGATTATTGGAGAGTTATCCCCTCACTCTATACTTTATTTATAGAGATGGATTAGTTACAAGTTAGTCTCACAAGCAATGTGGGACTAAACTAATACTCTCTTCTTCTTACAACTCTCTAAATTACACCCAAACGTGAGAATGGAAATGAACATTTCATTCCCACATTAATTCCATTCCATTCCTTACTCCATTCTATTTTCACTTCACAATTCCCCTATTCCAAACGAGGCATAAGGTCATGCTCCTCCATCCTTTCTCATACCTCAAATCAAATAGAAGTTCTCTGAAGGAGATCATGCCCTATCTTCTAAGCTCTTTTGACTCTAAATGTTGGTGTAAATGGAGTTGAAGCTATAGCAAAGTTAGTTCTGGAGAGTGAAGAATTTTCTATGGCTATGTTTCTTTCTATTATATGTTTATATCTCCCTAATATAAATTGTTTCAGCTTTTACTGCAGATCTTACCTGTATATAAAGTTAGTATCTGTGATGTATTGATATAAATATGGGATAATGCTGATAACCAGATGTGGCAATCCTAAAACTTACAGGATGCAGTTAGTATTCAGACATATGCATGCACATAATGAATTAGTAAGGTTAAAGTGGGACATAGAACAATAGTGATAATTTATAAAGTAGGTTTCTAAATTCCATAAATAAAATATAATACTACTAGTCATCATCCTTTAAATTCTATCTTATGGAAGAGGCCAATCATCTCTAACACTTTGTTTGGTACGCGAGAATGGAGTCAAGTGAGAATGGAAAGAAGGTAGGAATGGAATAGAATAGATGTGAGAATGGAATGCACTTTCTCATTCTCATGTTTGGGCGTGTTTAGAGAATGAAATAGGAATGTCAATCTTATTATCATTCTCATGTTTGGTATCATTTGTTCACAAGTGAGAATAAAATTTAGTTTTCTAATAATACCCTTATAAAAACATAGAATTTTAAAAACATAAAAATATTTTAAAAATGACTAAATAAATTTTTTTAGTAAAAATAAGTTTTATAGAAATGATATTTTTCTTATGGAAATAATTTTTCGGTTGATAGTTATATTTTGGTACACCACCTGAGCAACAATTTCGAACTTTTGGCTTACTAATTGAAAAATAATTTTTATAGAAATTATTTTTGATTATAAATAATTATAATTCTATATTTCTAACTTCTAATGCTACATGTCTATTACTTGTACGAGCATCTAATGCTACTAGCATTACTATGCACAAACGTATACAATAGACTGAATTCCATATGCATGCTACATGATTTATGACTGAATTCCATGTGCACGCATGAAGAGAGAGATCGAAAGAAAACACTAAAATTTGAAGGATTGGAATCACATGTTAACTTTTAGTCTGTATATAAAATTTATATAAAAATTCAAATGCACCTTTAACTTTCAAAAAATTGATTAGGAATAGAAAACATGTTACCCTAGAAAGTTTGAAGGAATAGAAAACATATTAACCTCTAATCAAAATATAAAGTTTCAATCTCATCAATTAAGCACATTATTTTTTGTTGTGATTGCTTTGAAAAAATTACTGAAAAGATTAGACATATATGCTTCAATGGAACTTCAAATCGTACATCCAAAGATAAAATATTTACTAACCTAATTGCTAATAGATTACGCAATCGAGTCACCAAAAGATAAAAATTATTGTAAATATTAGGTAAAGATTAGCCACACATACATATTTTAAAAAGAAATAATGGTTACCTAACCGAGTCACGTTGAGTCGAAGACGAGATTTTTTTTCTATTGCATACGCGATGGAACTAGGGGAAAGTCGAACAAAGAATAGTATTTTAATATTTTACATCTATTTGTATATTTGTACAAACAGCTAATGATATTATTTCTATAGAAATAATTTTTCATATGAGAATTTATATCTATTCGTATCTTTTAAGGAGGGCATAATTGGAAATTATTTGATTATTTTATTCCCACTTAAGTGAGAATATCAATTCCTTGTTAAAATGATTGAGAATGTCAATTACCACAAAAAAGTGGAAATTGATAAGAAGTGGGAATAACAATTCTAGCGTCTAAATATACATCGTGTTTGGTACGCATGAATAAAGAGCTGGAATTGCATTCCATTCCCACTCATTCCCACGTACCAAACGAGGCGTAAGTGAATTACATATTAACTGATGCTGACAAGTTGCGGAAATATGCCGACTCCTTGCTGTGATTTGTGATAAAGACTAGCTTCACGTTAGATTACTGCAAGAAAATTGATGTTGACTAGCTGGGGAAATATATGTGGAATTATGTTCTTATCCTTAAAGCCGCCTCTTTTGTCCTTTGTAAATATACAATCTGAACTGAGGGTGTTGGACCTGCTGATGATGTTTCATTTCCTTTTTTATTTTGTGACTGTTGGTTTCTTGTTTTTTTACATCTTTTATTATTTCCATAAGTTTACTATTTGTCGCTGAATGGTTGTCTGCTTGTATACCTCTTCATAGACAGTCACATTGTTTTTTTTAATTATCATTTATGTGTTCTGAACTGATAACCTCGTGGATAGTGACACATTCAATGAAAATGAACCACCCACTGATGACCCTTTATATATCTCATCGCTTGGGGCTGCTGTTTACAAGGCCATGTCCAAAGGTGATGCTGACGCCATCTGGTTAATGCAGGTAATGGAACTTTTCAGGTTTCCTTATTTGTGATACAACCATCTTTTATTTTTAAATTATGTATTTAAAAACAGATACACATCCTAATTTAAATTCATGCTTTACTTATGGATATAGAATTTAGAAGTGCAGATTATGTTATGGGGCTGATGGTGGAGCCGGGAATCTCCTCTTTCTTGGGAGGTGGGGGGTGGTTGGAAATACAGCTGTCATACTATACATCGATCAAAAAAGTTATCAAATATGACAGTGTATAATAAAATTTTCATATATGTAAGTAGGTGAAAGAAGAACCTAGATTAGATGTTAAAAAAAAATTCCATGAATACTTATGAAAACATTGCCTCCCAATAAATTCTTGGAGAACCATCTCCACTGTAGAATTAGCATCTACAATGTAAAAACTTCACCCCCAAACAGATCCAAGGGGATAATCTCCCAAGTTCTGTTAGCAACCAGAGTTTCATCTAGTTACTGCCACCATGTTTTTTCCGTTTTGCCAATTTATTTAATGGAAATCTAACCAATCACCTTAGAATTTATGCGATTAGTACAAACAAAATTGAAGAAACTTTCCCAACTTTACTTTAAAAAGATAGCAGACAATACCAAAATGTTTTTACTCCTTCTCCCCCATCCTTTCATTCCCCATGGGACAGCAGCCAATGCTCATTCTTGTTCCCTGCAACTTTTAATTACCAAAGATTGTATACTAGATATTTCCTAGTGTTTTGTTATGTCTAAGGACTTTGATTACCACGTTTGCTAGCAATTTAACTTCTGCAGCGGACATGGCTGATCAGATTTAGGAGAAAATTTTGATTTTTGGCACATGTGGAAATATTAAAATGCAGATCAAATGCAAAAAAGAAAAATGAACATGATGTCAAATTTAAATAAGTATTAATTCAGTTCCTTTTCTAATACTCTAGGTGATCTATATCATGGGCTATACAATCTCTGATTTGAGATAGCTATATATAATTAATCTAGGATTAACTAAAAGGATGTATTATGTACATTTAAAAAAAGGTAGATAAGTTTTTAGTTAAAAATTATATATAATATATATTTAACTAAATGCAATTATACAAACATTATACTTAAGTTACAAGCTAGTGTATTATAAAAAAAGGAGTTGTGTGCCAATAGATGAGAATGACTAAATGACTAAGTTATGAACTTGTGCATGAAAGAGACTAAGCGGCAGACTAACAAATCAGTTAAGATAATATTGGCACATTCCCCACTAAAACAAAATGCCGTTTTTCTCTTTCTTCTTCTCAGACTCAATTGCTAGGGTTTGAAGTCAAATATGAACATCTCATTGAGTTCATCTCTAAGGTGCCATGGGTTTGCATTTTGGTCAAAAGTGTTAGGGTTCCCATCATCTACATGATTATCATTCATAACTTATTTTAATTCCACGTTTTTATATATCCAAAGTTGCATTGTAATATAATTTCTACTTCATACTTTCATCATGTTATTGTTGTTCTTATCCCCGTTTCAAGTAGAATAGGAAAATGGGGTCTCAATCTTCATGTAGTTTTGCATTTAATAGTAGAATTGTGAAATGAGGTTTATATTTTCATGTGATTTTGCATTATATAATGGAATTGTGAAATGAGGTGGATATGTGATTATGAGATTTTTATATACATTTTGATGATTAAATTATTATTGGAAATGAGTTTTCTATGTTCATGAACTTTTGCAATTATTTTACAAGTGTCATAGTTAAAATTGCTTTACTTCTTACTATTATTTGAAATAAACTTAATGACATAAGTTATAGTGTATTGTCAATCTGTCAAGTCTTAGAAAAGATTATACTTTCTAATTTGTGGTTATGGGAAAACTTACTACAATTGATACATTTTAGAAAGGAACTTTCAAAGATTGGAGCCAATGGGTGGATATGTTGAAATGATTTATCGTGTTGTGTCACAAGATGGATCATATTTTAGGTGCAACTCAAGAGAATCTATCAAATCAGTTTTTATGAGATGAATCACAGAAGCTTAAGGAAAGCTTACTACTGATAGGAATTAGCCTTAAAATTGGTGTTAATGTGTTATGATGGCAGATGAGGTATTAGGGTCGGGTTCTGGGGTTGGGTTCAGAAGATATGAGGTTAACTGTGGTTAGGGAGAAGATAACAGAGGAAGAAGATGAAAGAGAGGCGGCCAATGGAAGAGAGTATAGGTGATAGGTTAGGGTTTGTAGAGAGGAGAGGTAGATTAACTCTCTAATTTCTCTGATTCCTTCAGTTAACATTATGCTTACACATACACACACCAGATTGACTTGCTAGATGGTGCCAGAGGTATTGCCATGTATCTTTACAAATTTGCAATATCGTTACTGGTGGTTCCTGTAGTTCTTTTGGGCTAAAATCCCCTTTAAGATCTTTTACATAGCAGACTAGCATTGGTGGTTTTCATAGCTTGGAAAATCTAGCCCCATTGGAGGTGCATACATTTAAAACATTGGGATCTACAAATGTTATTTGATTTGTTTTTTCCCCCCAAAAAAGTCTATTAGCTCAATTGAGCCGTATGAAGTACAAGGTTGACATGGTTCATTTAACCCGGATGCTCGTATCATATATTTTGGATGCTATAGTATTGGACATGCCCTGATACAGTCTGTATTTAGCTTACTAGAATCTGCAGGGCTGTAATAATAATTCTGACAAGCAAGTCATTTTGTCCTGGTCATTATCCAATCTAGCTATGCGTAGTAGCAATATTTTCCAATTGGATTTGCATCAAGCTTTGGTCCTTTATTTTTAATGCATACTTGGACAGAAAACTATAGATCTATTAACCAGATTTATGGTCATTACTCTGGCACCAGTTTTAATGATATAATAGTATCTACATTGCAAGTGCACTGATTTCTTTCCTCCATTTTCAGTTCATAGTTGTTTGTCCTTCTTGGGCTTTGTCATTTCTCCCCAGCTTTTAGGCAAAGAGAGTGTTGTTGCGCAGATAACTAGTAACATATATTAGCAATCTCTTATGATGTGCAGGGTTGGCTTTTCTCATCAGACTCTGCTTTCTGGAAGCCACCTCAATTGAGAGTATGTACCATAGACAATGAAGTTATCCTTTATCTATCTTTTAAAGTAAAAGGTTGATGACATATAGCTGGTAATTGCAATTGTAGCTTCATAGTTAGCTCATGCAAAATTATAATTATACTAAGGATATGCCATATTGTTTGCAATATTTAAGATGGGCTCCAGTTTGGTATTGTCATAAGTTCTCCTGCTGCTATTGTTATTGTGGTTCACAACTCTAGTTTGTGATCCAGACAAAGTAGCTACCAGATAATAACTGCAATTCATTTATTACTATATGAAAAGTTGAATTATGGGTTCATTCCTAAGATTTTCTGGAATATTAAATCATTAAAACTAGCTGGGTTTTTTTCACGCTTATGGCAGGCAGAGTTATTTTTTCAAACTTTTACACCTGTTGATATTACTTAAGTTTCTCTCAAATGATTGTGCACTCTGCAGGCAATTCTTCATTCAGTTCCTATTGGAAAGATGATAGTGCTTGACTTATTTGCTGAAGTCAAACCAATTTGGAAAAGCTCTTCACACTTCTATGGTGTTCCATATGTTTGGTACTGCAATTCCCTAGCATAATGTTGTTACTATTATAAGATTTTACTTTTGTCAGAACTTAATGCTGCATCGGGGTAGTAGTTTCATTTCTCATGTAACTTTGTGGCTTAAATATGTTAATCTTTCTTTAGCACTCATTTCTTGTGAATCTAATAAGTTTGTGCCGTTGCTCTTTATGTTTCTCATTTAGGTGCATGTTACACAACTTTGGTGGAAACATTGAAATGTATGGCATACTAGATGCAATTTCATCTGGTCCCATTGAAGCACATCGTAGCAAGAATTCGACTATGGTATGTTATGCGATAAATTTTCGAAATTTGTCCTTATTAGTACCAGAAAGCAAATTACACAGGTAAACGTTAGGTGATTGTAAAGAAGTTTTAAGAGAGGTTTATCTTTCTGTAAATAATATATGACAAATTTTATCGAGCCCCTATACTAGAACCTTTGCAACATATCACCTCTTATAATGGATGTTAGGACTTAGGAGATAGATCCCTGATTGATTGACGACATTGAAAATCTCAGTCAGAGCTATGTCATGTTTTGAACCATATACTCTTCAAGTGAGGGTAAAAATGTCAGATGCTGTCATGTTGCTTCCACCTCTGACTTATAGTGGTATGACAATGTTGATCCATCTTGGAGTGTCTGTTAATATCACACTGAGAGTTGGTAGGGGTATTTATGCAATTAACCCAATCATATATACCACAAGGTAGGGTATATGGTAATTATAATGATGCTATTTCCAATTACAACTTAGTTAGCAAGATGTATTTGTTGTGTCACCTACATCATGATACTACTTATTGAACTCTTAGAAAATCCTTTATGAGACCTATTATTGGAGGTAGAAGATCAACAATTTTCCTTCTCAAAAATAAAGAAGTCACTTTTTGCAACTATTGTGGGTTCAATCCTGTGGGATTTTATTTTCATTGGATCTTTTGTATGGAACAAGTCATGCTTATGAAAGTTGACATGTCACTATTTTGAATTCATCTGGGGTGTAAATGAAGGGAATAATATCCTTGGTAATATGTCCATTTATTGGAGTTCAATCCGCTGTAACTACTACCACAAATACTACTATTACTACCACAATTCGTTCATCATACTCTTTTAGGGTGTTCCACTATTCTGCAGGCTTGTAAGCCTATTCAATACATCATACCATTTTTAGATATGAGTTGTTTGTCATCAAATCTTTAAGATGTAGCTTCTCATCATTAATTCTGTCCAACATTCTTTTCCTTAGATTGGTGTTGGCATGTGCATGGAAGGAATTGAGCAGAACCCAGTTGTATATGAACTTATGTCTGAAATGGCATTTCGGAGTGAAAAAGTGCAACTTGAGGTAATAAAGTTTCCGAGGTTCATAGTTTAAAGGTTTTAGAGACTGGTAGGTAAGTGGATAAAATTCTTATAATGTCCATGTAAATTCATGCTTTTACATACACACATAAATGCATATGCATATGCATATGTATACATACATATACATACATATATATATATATATATATATATATATATATAACACACACTCTCCGTGTGTGGGGCTTTTCTACAAGAAAGTACCTTTACTGTGGGGTGATTTTTATATTATTTAATATCTTTATCCATCATTCATGCAGTCTTGAAAAAAGATGCATATTGGACTTTCTTGGATATTTGTAAGTCGTTTGTGTGGTTTCTGTTATCACCCTTGAAGTACTAAATATTAATCTTCATAGAGAAGTCAACACATGTCTGACACTACACCTAACCGACTAATTCAAGACCAAGATAACCTCCTCCTCAGCACGACCAACTTGTTTGGCCGTCAACTTGTGTAACCGAGTCAAAATGCGATACTACTCGGCCAACCCCTCAATTGACTTCACAAGCGACCCGACTCAGCCCACTGTTCAGCCGACATCTCGCGTAACCGAGTCAAAAGGCGGTACTTCTAGGCCCTCGGTCTGAGGAATCAAAAGATGACGATTACCTCGAACCCCTCACCAGTCGACTACTCTCGCATTAACTGCCCTGACAACATCATCATTACCCTAGCCCCCATAGTCTTTATGACTCATTGGACCCAGTCAGTACCAAACACCTGCTGTCATTCCCATAATAAAGGACCAAGTAAGTCACCTCATTCCGCAACCGACACACAGTGTGTGTCCGTCGACTCAGCTGCCTAGCTGGATTCGGCCGAATCCAAGTTACCTTTTTGCCCCTTAATTCCACTATAAATGGAGCGGCACTGCATGCGGTAACTTCTCTGGCATTTTCTTTTTACGTAACTCAGAAATAGTTCTATATTTTTCCATTCAAGATCATCTACTGACTTGATCATTGGAGGAACAACCGAAGAATCCAACTCCGCCCTCTTACAAGTTCCTTCATGTGAAGGGAAGAATAGTAATCCCCAGAACCTCTCATCAGAAGGAGTTAAAAGGGCCCTAAACGCTCCATAAACTCCTAAACAATCTCCTGTTTGATAACTGACATCAACAATTTTAATATTTTTTTTATATCTAGACTTCTAGACGCCAGCATCTTAAACCTTGTATTACTTGTAAGGTGACAAGTTCTTTTTCTCATGGACACTCCTTGTCTATATGCAACATTTATTCAGACATGCTCAATTATCTGAAGG